GGCGGGGGTGCGGGTGGGGGTAGTGGTGGAGGCGGGTCGTCCGGTGCTGGTGCGGACGTGGGGACCCTGCCCGGTCCAGCTGCCCCGCTGCCTCCACAGTTGCAGCAGCCGCAGCAGCAGCAGTCGCCGCAGCCGCAGCCTTCGCAGCAGCCGCAGCAGCCGCCGCAGACGAGGCAGGCGAGTACTCTCCCACCTGGGTGGCCTGGAGCTGGTGGTGGTCGTGCGCGTGGTGGTGCACCGGGTGGTGGTTCTGGAGGCGGGCCCTGTCAGTACCAGATCCAGACCGGTCCTCGCCGCGGCTTCGTTTGCGGTAAGATCGGTCATTCTACTCCTCGCTGTTTTCGTCGCCTGGACGACCTGTTCCGCCAGCGCTTTGGCCCGGCGCCCGACCTCCCGGACTGGCACAGCTTGCTTAGGCGTAGCATTAGGATTTTTGACTTGGACATGGATGCCATTGTAGCGGCCTTGCATGTGATGTATGCTGATGACTCTAGTGTGCTTCCCTCTTATTACCCCGTGTTGCCTAGTGTAGCGGTGCCTAGCGTAGCCTCCCCTGCTGCGTCAGGCGTAGGATCTCCTGCTTTGCTTAGCCTTGGTGCTTCCACCGCTTCACTGCTGCCTCGCGCGACTGCTGCGCTTTCCTTCACCTTGGACTCTGGCGCCTCCCGGTGTTTCTTCCGCGACTCCACGACGCTGACGCCGCTGCCTGTTCCCGCTGCAGTTACTCTTGCTGACCCCTCCGGTGGTCCCGTCGTTGCCCGCAGTTACACCTCCCTTCCCTGTCCGGCGGTTCCTTCGGGCACTCTCACAGGTCTGCATATCCCCTCGTTCTCCAGGAACCTAGTTGGTGTCGGCTGCCTCCAGGACCTTGGCGTCACCACTACGTTCCCTGGTCACGAGCGGTATGCTGTCTGTACCGAGGCCGCCACTGGTGCCCCCCTTACCACTTTCCCCCGGGACCCGGTGTCCGGCCTGTTCACACTTGACACCGCGCCGTCCCCGGCTGGGTCTTCCCCCCCGGTAGTTGCGTCCACCCAGGTTGCAGCCGCGTGCTCCTGTCGGTCCCTCACTCACCCGACTCTCCTTTGGCACCACCGCCTTGGTCACCCTGCACTCCCACGTCTGCGTCACATGTCCCAGCACGGTCTCGTCCTTGGTCTCCCCGGCTCGTTCCCCGAGTTTCCCTCCTCCCCCGCCCCACCGTGCACGCCTTGTGTCGAGGGCCGGCTCCGCCGTGCCCCTCACTCCTCCTCTTTTCCCCCTACCACCGCACCACTGCAGACTCTGCACATGGACGTCTGGGGCCCAGCCCCGGTCCATGGGCCGCGTCGCGAGCGCTTCTTCCTAGTGCTTGTCGACGACTTCACGCGCTACACCACCGTCTTCCCCCTGGAGCGGAAGGCCGACGTGCCTGACGTTCTCATCCCCTGGCTTGTCTCTGCTCGTGTCCACCGCGGTCTCCGTGCCTTGCGCCTTCACTCCGACCGGGGTGGCGAGTTTGCCTCAGGTGTCCTTGGTCGCTTCTGTCGTGCGGAGGGCATCACCCAGACGTTTACCCTGCCGGACTCCCCGCAGCAGAATGGGGTCGCTGAGCGACGCATCGGTTTGGTCATGGAGGTGGCTCGCACCTCCATGATCCACGCCGGTGCACCCCATTTTCTGTGGCCGTTCGCCGTGCGCTACGCCGCTCACCAGCTTAACCTGTGGCCGCACCCCCAGCGGCCGCAGGTTTCGCCGACCCTTCTGTGGACCGGGTCCCCTGGTGACGCGTCTGCGTTCCGCGTCTGGGGCTGCCTTGCTCACGTTCGTGCCACTGGCACGGACAAGCTCACTGCCCGCACCCTCCCCTGCGTCTTCCTCGGTTTCCCCCTTGACGCGTCCGACTGGCACTTCTACCACCCGCCGTCTCACCGCTTCTTTCACTCTCGCGACGTCACCTTTGACGAGTCCGTCTCCTTCTACCGCCGCTTTCCCCACCGTGGTCCCCCGGTTACTCCCCCCCTTTTCCTGGTTCCTCCCTCCCTGGTGGTCCCTGCCCCCCCCCCCCCCGCCCCCCCGTCCGGCCCCCTCTGGTGTGTCTCACGTCACCCCCCTCCCGTCGGTCGTCCCGGTCGACGAGTCTTCTGACTCTGGTAGTCCTCCGGCGCAGTCCTCGCCGTCTGTCCCTCCCCCGGTGTCTCCTCCTCCACCGCCTCCGCAGCCGCCGTCACCGCAGCTGCTGCAGCCGTCGTCCCCACCGCCGCCGCCGTTGCAGCCGTCGTCTCCGCCGCCGCAGCCGTCGCTGCAGCCGCCGCCGCCGCCGCCGCTGTCGTCGCTGCCGCCGTTTGTGGACTCTGGGGGTGTCCCTTCTGGGGGTGCAGGTGTGGAGGGTTCGGGAGGTAGCCGTCGCGCAGCTTGTGGCCCTGGTGTTGGTGTTGTGTCGCCGCAGCAGCAGTCCCCGCCTGTGTCCGCCCTCCGTCTGCTCGGCCTTCCGTCTCCTGACCCTGCGCCTGTTCCTCTCCTGCCGTCTCCCCCTCTTCCCGTCTACGGCCCCGTGTTCCCTCTGCCAGACTCGTCCCCGGCTCGTCTTCCCCCTCGTTCCCCTCCTGTGTCCCCTCCTCTGTCTCCTGACCCGACGCCGCCCTCACACGTCTGGTCTCGCCGCCCCTCTCGTGCTCGTCCTGTCTCCCCTGTCCCGCGCTCTCACCCTATGTTGCTCCGTTCCCACGCGTCTCGACCTCCCCTCCTCCCGTCTCCTCCTCCGTCTTCTCTTGTCGTTGCGTCTCCTCCTCTGTCCGACTCCTTTCGTGCCGCTCGTCCTCTTGTTCCTCGGGTCCTTGCCTCTCTCGTTACCGACCCGTCTGTTCCCGTGTCGAGTCTTGACGCCCTCGTCGCTGCGGTCGCTGACTTCGCCTCTACCCGCCGCCTTGACTACGCTACCGCTCTGGTCTCCGACCCTGCCTGTCCTCCGTCTGTCGAGGGTGCTCCTGCCCTCGGCAGTGACGTCCTGGAGGACCGCCAGTTCGAGCTTGCTTTCCTGTCCGAGGCTGCTCCCCATCTCTGTTCCATGCTGCTAGTCCCTGAGGGTGACCCAGACGCTTTTGACATCCCGACCCCTCGTACTTACGCTGAGGCGGTTTCGGGACCTTGGGCCTCTCAGTGGATAGCTGCCATGGAGCAGGAGATGGCATCTTGGAGATCCACCGGCACCTTCGTCGACGCAGTTCCCCCACCTGGGGTGAACGTGGTCGATGGCCGTTGGCTCTTCAAGGTGAAGCGCCCTCCTGGAGAGCCGCCTGTGTTCAAGGCGCGTTACGTGGCTAGAGGCTTCAGTCAGCGCGAGGGGGTGGACTTCTTTCAGACTTTCGCTCCTACCCCGAAGATGACTACTCTTCGGGTGCTGCTACACGTAGCGGCTCAGCGTGACTACGAGCTTCACTCCCTCGACTTCTCCACTGCCTTTCTTCAGGGCAGCCTTCACGAGCAGGTCTACCTGCGTCGCCCTCAGGGCTTTACTGGCACCTTCCCCCCTGGGACCCAGTGGCTTCTGCGGCGGCCAGTCTACGGCCTGCGCCAGGCGCCTCGTGAGTGGCACGACACTTTGCGTGCTACCCTTGCTGACCTGCAGTTCTTTCGTCCTCTGCAGACCCCTCGCTCTTCGTTCGTGCTGGCTCGACTCCGTTCTACATCCTCGTCTACGTAGACGACCTGGTCTTTGCCACTGCTGACAGGGACGCACTGGCCTCCGTGAAGGCAGAGCTGCTGAAGAGACACACCTGCACTGACCTTGGAGAGCTGCGCCGTTACCTTGGCTTGCAGATCTCCAGGGACAGAGCCGCGCGCACCATCACCCTGACTCAGTCACACTTGGTGCGCTAGGTCCTTCAGAGGTTCGGCCTTCAGTTCTCCTCCGCACAGCCCACCCCTCTTCCTCTGGACCACAGACTCTCCGCTCCAGTTCCTGAGGAGTCGGTAGATCCCAGTGGTCCTTACGTTGAGCTAGTGGGTTGCCTCATGTACCTGATGACTTGCACTCGCCCAGATCTCGCATACCCTCTCAGCATCCTGGCTCGTTTCGTGGCCACAGGCAGGCACCGACCTCAGCACTGGTCTGCCGCTAAGAGGGTTTTGCGTTATCTTGCAAGTACATCGGGCATGGGGTTAGTGCTAGGCGGACGCAGGCCAGTGGTCCTTACTGGACACACAGACGCTTCTTGGGCAGACGACGCCGAGACGCTCAGGTCTTCCCAGGGCTACTGCTTTAGCCTTGGTTCAGGTGCTGTCTCGTGGAGAGCTACCCGCTCTTCGTCTGTTGCCCAGTCCAGCTGTGAGGCCGAGATCTACGCCGGTGCCATGGCGGCACAGGAGCTCCGCTGGCTGACCTTCTTGCTCACTGACTTAGGTGAGCGGCCTAGCTCTGCCCCGGTCCTGTACGCTGACAACAGGGCCATGATTCTCCTGTGTCAGGAGCCTCGACTCGAGGGCAGAGCGAAGCACATCCAGCTGCGGTACTTCCTCCTGCGTGAGCTACAGCAGCGTCGCCAGGCTCGGTAGTACACTTAGCCTCCGGTGCCAACACAGCTGATATCTTTACGAAGGCGCTTGCGCCTAAAGATCATCAGCGGCACTGTGTGCAGCTTGGTCTGGTTCCTGTAGTCTCTCACTTACTCGGGCCTTGACTCTGTACTGTCCTATATATCTGTGTGTACACTCAGACTGGACTTGTGTCCTCTTACAGTGGTTGGACTAGTAGTGCCGCCCTGTACTAGTTCTTGCCTTGCCTGTACTCCTTCTGACTGGTCTTTTAGACCCTTGTCTCAGAGGCTGGACTAGTAGTGCCACCCTGAGCTGCTTGTCTAGAACATTCCCCTATGCAGTCCAGGGGGTGTGTCAAACATGTTTAGTTATCATGCTTGTATAGACTGTATAGGGTCATCTTCTAGAGAGTACAACAGTTAGGTATATGTTTGTGTACTCTCTCTCTCTATTTATCAATTTCACTGTTTGATAGTTACCATATCAGTGTGCTGAAATGTAATGGATGGGGCACTAGTCAGGTCAGGGATCTCTTGCCCACCAAGTGCACACTTGAGCAGAAGAACATGCTGCTGGTCATAAGCAGGGAATCTACTCACATGTTTAGACAAGCCACGATGGCCTACCACCACCAACTCTACAGCACCGGTAGTTCAACCTGCCTGCCAGCAGCCAGGCGCCTAGTCGTAACCGCCGACTTATGCTGCACAGTGCGGTACGTTACGGTGTAATGCAATGCAGTGCGACAGCGCACAGCACAGCCTCACCCAGGTTGGAATGCGCGGCGGGCATAGAACGGATCCCTGCGACCAGAAGGAGGGTAGGTCTCCCTGCCCCGGTATTCCGGGCGCGGCCCCGGGTGCCCCACCACACGGCCCGACATGGGAGCAGGTCGGCCGCCCATGAGATGCGACGCCGGGTACCTCTCTGCTGCCCTCAGCTCCGCTGCTCTCATCCTGCCTATCGGCGTCCAGTCGTTGTTGCTGCTCGCTAGACCACCCCCTCCACCACTTGCCTCCAGCCATGCCCGCCTGCTCGCCTCTAGACCACCACCACCAGTGGCAACACCAGCCCCGCCAGCAGCAGCACCGGCTGCTGCTGCTGCACCAGTGCCTGCAGCAGGACGAGGGTCGTCTCCATCCCCCAACCCCAGCCCCAACCTGCTGGCTCCCCTCACCCCTATCACTCCTGCTGCTGTCGCCACCACTGCTGCGGCTGCTGTGCCTCTTGCCTGTCCCACGTGGGCCTCACCCTCTTGCCCCCTCATTGGTTCTCCTCCACTCTCCCCCACTCCTCCCCCCGTCCCCCTCTGCAACCCAGCAGCACCATCCGGGCCCCCTCCACTGCCTCCCCCATCCGTCAAACCCCTGTACCCAACACCACCACCTACTCTCATGCCCATCATCCTCATCCCCGCTGCTCCCTCCTCGGTTCTCCTACCTCCTACATTCCCCCTCGGGTCCTCTCCGTCTCTTCCTCTCCTCTCCCCTCCCTCCCCTCTACCACCATCGTCAGCGCCACCAGCCGCACCTCCAAACTTCCTCCCTCCGCCATATCCCCAGGTTTCTCTCCCCGCCCCTGCTCCTCCTCCTCTACCACCCATTTGCATTCCCCACGTCTCATCCCCGTCTTCCCCCCCTCCAGTCCGCCTGCCCACCAGCAATCTCCCTGCACTCCCCCCTCCACCACCGCCACCATTACCACTGCCACCAGCACCTGCAGCAACACCAGAATCATCCATTTCTACAGCCCGGATCCCCAGCCCCATTCCAAGCGCGTGCGGAGGGGGGCCAAGGGCATCCGAACCACCCGGCCCGGAATTCCCCGATGCTCCTTCCGAAGAAGAGGAGCCGGCATGGGCGCGGCGGCCAAACTGCCAGGCGGCGCAGAGGAAGACGAAGATGAGGATGAGCGGCGTGGAGAGGAAGGAGGAGGAGCGGCGCGAGCGCGCCGACGACACGGGCAGGCGCGAGCGGTAGATGGCGATGTGGTGCGCGGAGAAGGCGACAGCGAGGAGCGACTCCTTGTTGGACGCGATTAGGGGCGGGGGGATGGCGGAGGAGGCGAGGGCGGAGAGGAGAGATGGCGTGAGAGCGGGGAGGTGCGGCGGGAGGGCTGCCACGGCAGAGGCGAGGGGGATGGTGAGGAGGAGGGTTGGGGCCCATGGCTTGGAACGAGGCGAGACGAAGCGGAATGGCTGCAGTACAGAGGGGTTGTGGGGAGAGAGGCGGTGAGAAGGGGTAAGCGTGAGGTGGGGATGGGATAGTGCTAACGGGTGATAGAAAAGGGGGTTTGATAGATGCACTGAAACGGAAGCACAAAGGAGAGGAGAGAGAACAGTGCATGCATATCACTTCAAAACTCACATGCACACCCCTGAAGAATGTCATCATCCTAAAGGTCCAAACACACATAACTTTTACCGTGGAAGGCCACCAATCAAGACCTCAACAAGTGACTGGCCATAAACCAATCGACGCATGAATGTGAGGAGAGAACGACATGACCCACCTGACCAGAGACGTTGAAGATGAGCAGCGAGCCAGCCCCCGCCACAAACACGTACCCATGCACTGCCGCTACCTTGCCCTGCCCCACGCCCACCATATCCCCCACCAATCCCTTCCCATCACTTCTCCCATCACCACCACCACCCCCTCTCTTGCTGTCATCACCATCACTAACACCAGCAGCAGCGCCAGAAGAATGGGCAGCATGAGACGCAGCAGCGGTACTGACGGTCGACAGAGCGAGAACTCTCCAGCGCACGCGGCAGTCAAACCAGTTGGTATCCCCCGTGATGGTCACCAGCACGAGCTCTCCCTGCGTCGTCAGCGCATAGGCTCTGGAGCGGCTGGCCGGGTCAAAGGAGAAGGCTGCGAGCGTGGAGCCATTGAGCCCGTGGCACGTGGCAGGGTGCAGCGCGAGGGACAGCAGGTCCACTGACGCCGCCCCTGCTGACGTCAGGAAGAGCACCCGCTGGGAGGAGGGCGTTCGGATGAACGCCAGGGGGATGCTGGCACGACCCGCAGAGGCAGGAGAAGAAGCGGCACCAGCAGCAGGAGCAGAACTAGCGGCGTTATCACCAGCAACATTAGCATGGTTGCTGCTGCTGCCTTTGTCCCTGCTGGCTTCACCAGCGCCCGATGGCCCTCCGCCTGCACCCTTCGCCTTTCCTTTCCCAGCAGCAGCATCATCTCCACCCGCCTGTTTGCCGCGGGTGTCCCCCCGTCGTTGGTGCTGTGGTGCGGGCAGCATGGTGGCGTGGCCGTACACGGAGCCGTTGGAGCGCAGCACCACGATGACGCCCCTCGCACTGCCCACCAGGATGTAGCGCGCCGACCCCGACTTGTGCACCTCCAGACACGTCACTGCACTGGCCGGCACATCCCACCCCCCGTGCTGCTGCTGCTGCTGCTGCTGCTGCTCCTCTTGGCCCTGCTGCTGCTGCTGCTCGTGCTCTCCCGCGCTGCCGCCTGCTACATCTGCCCCTTGTGAAGCCAGTGCGTGTATAGCCCCAGCAGGCAGCAGCTCCACCACCGGGACTGCATACGACGCCAGCATGCCTCCCTCCATCACCTCCCCATGCACACCCGCCGATGCTCCCGCTGCAGCAGCCGCCGCCGCCGCAGCAGCAGCAGCGGAGGTGGCGGGGGAGGGAGCAGCAGAGCGGCCCCTGGCCTGCAGCTCTGGCACGCGCACGAGGTACACGGACCCGTCCGCATGCCCTGTGGCCAGCCATGTTTCGTTGCGCTTCACTGCTGCCGCCACTAGCGCCGTCACTGCCCATTGCCCGCCATTTCCTCCGCCTCCTGCTCCTCCTCCTCCTGCTCCTGCTCCCCCACTGTGAGCATGAGGGTGTGCGTGCGAGTGCAGCGACGGCGGGTGCAGGTGCAGCAGCAGGTGCCCCTGCGACGAGAAGACGCGCACGTGCCCGCCCATGTCGCCCACTGCCACCAGCCGCCCGCCCGTGGGGGAAGATAGGTCCAACGGGAGCAGCTGGCGGGTGAGGATCGGATCGGGGTTGGGGAATGGAGAGAGGGGTTAGGAGGGAGACTGGGTTGCGGCGATGGAGTGCAGTGAGGAGGTGGGGTTAATGGGTGGGGAGAGGGAGTGGCGGTGGGGGTAGCGAAGAGGGAAATAATGGGCGGAAAATAGTGTTGGTTAAGGGGAGCCAGGGAGCGATGGCTAAGTTGGGGATGGCAGGAAATGGCAGATGGGAGGGAGAGTACGATATGGAGGAGCAAGATAGAACAACTAGACAGAACATTGATGGAAACATTCCAACACAAGACTGCTCACACACACATGCTTTCACCAAACCCTAAAAGCATCAGTAGGTGAACAGCATTGTTGTACGACCCACAATGCCTCCACCCAAACCCTAATTCCGCCACGACCACTATCCGCTCTGCTCCGCTCCTCTCCCCTCCTCTCCGCTCCTCTCCTCTCCCCTGCTCAACCCTAACTAAGCCCCCATCCCGGCTGCAGCTGAAGCTTAAACCATTTGGCGCTCTCCTTACCAGCAGCGCAGTGACACGAGCGCCCATGGCTGCCGTGCCCACCAGCTCCAAGCTTCCACTCCACGTCAGCGCCTCACTCCAACTCGCCCTCGCTGCGCCTGCTTTCCCCACACCCCCTTCCCCCACTCGCCCTTCCGCGCCACCCGCGCCTTCCGCGCCTTCCGCAATTCTCCCCATGCCCTCGCCTTCCCATCTCCCCCCGATCCCCTCAAGCAAAGCGTCATCCACTCCGCCCATTCCGCCCATTCCGCCAACTCCGCCATCAACCCCCCTGATGTCCCCCGCGCCTCCCTTAAATCCAGCGCTTTCTGCGCCCAACCATGATTCTGCATCCAAACCCCAGTCCCCTGCCCGCGCGCCTTCCGCCCTTCTCCCCGTAAGCTCCGCCAGAAGCCGCTCCATGCGCTCCAGGCGCGCGCTCTGCTCCGCCACGGTCTCCTGCAGGCGCGCGAGCGCAAGGCGTTCCGCCTCCACTGCTGCGCGCACGGCGTTGACGGCGGACAGTACTAGCCTCCCTGCGCTGGAAACGTCTGGCGAATAAGGAGACGAAAAAAGAGAAGAGACGGAAGAAAGAGACGAGTTTGAGAGCACAGTCAGATTTGAAGGAGACCCACACGCGGCATTGCTGTCGCCTGATGCATGCATCTATGGCGGAGGCGTAGGCAGCAACAGCGCCGCCGCGGCATTCCCCGGAGCACGTACCGGGAGTGGCAGTGTGCGCATCTGTGATCGCGGAGGCCGTCGCTATCGCGCCACTATCTGATGGGCAGGCATTGAGTCTGCCTGAGTCCGCCGCAATGGCATTGCACGTGCGCGTCACATGAGGAGAGCAAACGTCGCTGCTGGCTCCATCAGCTTCGTACCCCATGCCCCCTGGAGAACCCTCCGCTGCTGCTCCTGCTGCTGCTGCTGCTGCTGCTGCTGCTGCTGCTGCTAGCTCTCCTCCTCCTGCTGCTGCCGTTGTTGTGACATCAATGCCAACATTCGGCCGTTGCTCTCCCCCCGCCTTATCATGGCTTTGCGCTGCGGCATCGTCGCGAGCGGCGGCAGTGGCGAATTGGACGGCAAGAATCAGCACCAGCAGCCCACGGAACGTGCCGCGTAGACATCGGGCGCCCCCTGAACCGCCATGCCGGCACGTTGCACGGGCTTTCCGTAACAAATGCATCTCGAATTCGGGTTCGTCTCGCCTCTCGCGCGTCTAGCTGGGTGGCCTTTTCAGAAATGGAATTTGTAGGTTAGATAGCCATGGACGGCGGAGGTGGAATCGCGAAAAGAGGAATCGTGGAAAGAGGAATCGCGAGTTTCATTGGGCAATTAAGTGCATGTTGAGGTCGTTCGCCAAGTTGTAAGATGCGGCGGCGGTGCTAACCATGGCGGGTGTGATGTTAAGAGGAGAGAAATTGGTGGAGGCCCAATGAAAGGGAAAGCGGGGGAATGTACATGATGCATGAAACTGCGCTGCGTGCGACGTGGGACGAGGCGTTTTATTTCTGATGCGATGCGACCCCAACTGGTGGGCCGCGGCGTTCAGTGGGGAGTTTATTCGTGACTCCCATCGGCGATGGCGTCACACACGGCACAGCCGACTAGACTCGTATCCACAAAGCTGTAGTGCTGAGGACCCCAGGACAGGAGCCAGTGCTAGCCCGCTGATACAGCTGACTGGAGGCAGGGACCACGAATGGAGTTGGATTGCTCCTCCAACCTCAGTGCAGGACTGGCTGGCAGAGCTACACTCTCCACACCATCCTTGGGCGTTCAAACCTGATGCTGTGCAAACAGAAACAAGACAGCATGGATGGAAGGGAAGCCAGGGCGGGGTGGGGGGGCGGGGGGTTTGGGGTTTGGGTGTGAAGAACGGGTGTAATTTTGGGGTACGCTCCTCCCTGGGCAGCCACGGAAGAATCACACTCTGGAATCTCCAGTCAGCCTACTGGGTTTGCTAGCTATGTTTGGGTTTGAGCTGCGGCTTCGTTTGTCATGTTCGCTGTCTATATGTACCTTATTGCCATCCCCTGGAATCCTTGGGGTACAGATCCAATAGTCCCGTTTTCAGCAAGGCAAGGTGCATGCAGGGGCACGGGCACATGAACGGGCACTAGCCCCAGAGGTGACAAAAAGGTTATCGCCGAATCCAGAGTGATTCCCTTTATGGATCCGACACACGACACGAGCTAGCCAACCGACGGCACGAGCCCCATGCCAGATGGGTGTGGCCCCGCTTACAGGGGAAATTGTGGTTCGGAAAGGGCCAATTGACCAGACTTGCTGGTATGGAAAGCAGGCTGGATGGTGGCTAGGCTGTCCTTTCTGGGGCAACCACATGACAGGTTCGTCGTCACATCAGAGCAGTTCTTGAATAGCAAACCAATCAGGTGGGCAAGTGTCATCTAAACTTGACGTGCATGCATCTACTACACGGCCAGTGAATGCACATGGAGCCTCTCACAGTACAAACATCAACGACAACACGCTTAGATAAATCGCATTAATATCTACATCCATGCTCACAAACTTTAGGAAGGTGTAATGAAGCGCTAAGAGCGTGTGTGAAAGATTGAGTAACGAGGAAAACAATACAACAAAGCCACATTGTTGGAAATATCTCGAGGACTTAGCGTTTCTGAAGTGTAACACTACACTCAAGGAAAGTCGTATCGGGTACGCGAGTCAACGGAGGTTACACGAGGAGGTTGGACGAAAGAATACGAAAGGACGAAGGGACTCGAAGGGTCGCAACCGGAGGCTGCGATTGACCGTTGCGACTGCAATGGTGGTAACCGAACCGACAATCGAGTCGCTGTGAGACTCGATAACTGTTCCTTCAACTGTATTCTACAACTGCTTCATTTCTTTTTTTTAATATATATTGCTGTATGCTTGTTTCTTTTCATCAATCACTTGCTCTCACATACTAGTGCAAGGGTTCAACTACTCAACATTTCCGCTGCACTAGTCAAGCATTCTGTACAAGTGGGACTTAGTATTTGAAAAGATCCAAGGGCTTTTTCTCAGCCCAACATGGTATGAGAGCTGGTCAGAGACCAAACTCCCGCCAACAACATCCTATCTACAGTCAGCATATCAAAAGCTTCATCAACTACAAGACATGGACAACAAGGGCTCACCCAGCGCCCAAGCTACTCAACCCGGCACCTATGGACTACACACCTCAGGACTACAAACTTAGACCGGCACTGCTCAAGAGACAACAGGAAGAGTACTAGAAATGGTGACCCCTTCACCTTCTTCAGGCGTGGACCCGAACCATATGGAAAGGCTCTACAGCTTCATATCGCACTTCGACCAGCAACAGCAGACAAGGACACCTGCGCATTCAAGACAGAGCAACGGAGGAAATATGGGGTTAGCACCGATGAGCCTTGACAACTCATCATTCGGGCGGCACAACCAGGCACCTACCTTTGCGCCTTATCACTCTTCACCAAGGACGTTCAACTTCATGCCGCCCCATGCTCAACTGACAGCAGCTGCATCACAACAAACACCAAACGAGATATTAAGTCTCCAGGCGCAGTTTTCACATGTGATCAAACTGCAGACATCTTCACCGTTCAACGGGCACGACTTCTTTACCTTGAGTTTTGAGTTCGAGCTGCTGATGGAGGCCACGCACCTCTTGGGATACTTCAACGGGTCCCTGCCATTTCCAAGCAATGGGACTGCAAAAGAGCAGGAAATCTTCACTTATCAGTCGCTGCTGGCATACACAATTCTTCTGCGAAACCTGTCACCACAAGAGCAACAGAGCATCAGAACGTATCGGAGCTACGGAAACTCCGCGGAGCTCGCCTCGCGGGGAAAAGGCGATGCAGTATATGAGCGCTGCCAGACACTTCGCGACCGCCTGCTTCGGTGCGGAGGCACAATCACTGAAGAAAGCTTCGTGACACTTGTTCTCGCCAGGCCCGGACCAGAATGGTGAACCACCCGCTCGCTTCTTCGCGCCCACGGACGAATTTCCGAGATGCACCTTTGCGCCGAGCTTCATGTTGAACAATAGGAGATGGACCTGTTTGAATAAAGACAACCACGAAGCAAGCAGCAACCGTTAGTCTTCTACACTCAAAGAAGAAACGACAACGACCACAACCGACGCGACAAGCAGAACCGACACGACACCAGAGGTCTCACCATCGTGCCGCCGTTCTGCCACAATTGTCAGACATTTGGGCACTCCAAGGTCAACTGCATACGCCCCCGAGTTTATCGTCCAGCAGATCCGCAAGTCGCCTCCACTCAAGAGAATCCACCAAGCCGTTCCTCTACACCTGAACAAGGCGCACCGAATATAATTAATTGTATGGTACGCATCGACAACTGCACACCCGGGTCACCACCCACTTACGCACCAGACGAAGAAGAATTGCCGCCGCCGCGCTCACAAGGTCTTCAGGTCAACCCCACGTATGCTGCAGTCGCCAACGCCGAACCCACTTGGCAAAACACCTGGTTCTTGGACAATTGCTTCGGTCAACACATGTGTTCCTCGGGGCGCTTCATGCAACGAGAATGATGCCTCAACCGCGGCGTCATCATCGCTGTTGCCAACAATGAAAACCTGAAGACAAACAGACAAAGAGTCGTTCAGCTTCAGTCAATGCAGACAAACGTCATACTCCAACTCAACAAAGTTCTCATCGTCGACAATCTGGGATACAATGTACTAAGCGTCAACCAGTTAATGGCGAAAGGAATTCACCTGGAATGCGACTCAGACGCCAACGAGTTTCGTCTTTATCACGGGAAGGGCGGCCTCTTCATCGGTCGCGCTCTCCTGAAGTCGGGCGTCTTCGTGCTGGACTTTGCCCCCGACCGTGATACTGCTGACAGCGACGGCATCGTGTCGTTCGCCGCCTGGACGCACCCGCCCGATCTTGACCCCGACTTCAGACTAGGCGGGTTCTAGTACTCCAACACCATCCCTGCAGCAGAGAGATTACGAGCATTAGCAGTCATTCGACAAGAACGACAAGTACCAGCAAGTACCCCTTCCCCGACATCACCTGTAGTAGCAGCAGCAGGACCCAGCCGCGTGCCATCACCAGCAATTCGAGGGCCACCGACCGAAGCAGATCAGCTCATGCCCATCACCCGAGGTGTCTGCCGCAGTCCCGCTACGGTCGTCGCGTTCTTCTCCAACGCCGACCTGTACCGACGTTCACCCGGCCATTGCGCTCCCGACGACATCTGGCATTAACGCCTCGGACACCCGGCAAAGAGCACAATACTTCAAACCATACAAGCCGGAGTATTAGAAAAAGACGCCCTCCTCACAACGAGCGGCCAGGAGCTTCGACGACCCCGCGCACGATGCTTCACGTGCCCCGAAGCTGATCTTCCCCATCAACCTTTCCCGTCGCACCACAATCCAAGCGCACCTGAATACGCACCGATGGAAAAGGTTTACATCGATATTTTAAACATGCCTCGAGACGACAGTGAAGCAAAGTACAACTACGTCATCACGTTCATCGACGCGGCAACACGATACGTCTGGCACTACAACGTCAAGACTCGTGACCAAGCGTTCGAAGCTTTCACGACATAACTCCCCATCGCTGAATGAGAATCGGGCTCCCCACTCAAGATTTTCCAGTCAGACGGGGCACTGGAGTATCAGTCACAAAGGTTCAGGAGCTACTTGGCAGAAAGAGGCATCAAATGCCTGGTGTCCCTGGCCTACGCTCACCAGCAGCAGGGGGTCGCAGAGAGGATGAACCGCACCTTGCAGATGACGATGCGGAAGCTGCTTCTGGGGATGGGACTGCCCAAAACTCTTTGGCCTGATGCGATGACGCATGCAGTCCACCTCCACAACTTGCTGTCCTCGTCATCACTTCCCAACAGCGCATCACCACACCTGCTGTGGACAGGAAGACTGGGCAGCACAAAATTACATCGAGTTTTCGGCTGCATGGTACAGTACTGACCCCACACAGCTCGAGCAGGACGATTTTCTCAACGAGCACAGTGGGGACTACACCTCGGAATCACAAAACATTTTCACGCGTGGAAACTTCTCGACATCCAGGACAAAAATACCGTGGCCTCACGTGATGTGATCTTCTACGAGAGACTGAAGGTGCAGCATTACCCGGACAACAGCGCCAACACCGCAGACCCCACTGACAGTTTCGAGGGCCATCGATCCTTCGTCGACCATGCTGCCGAAACTGACGCAGCAGAAGAAGTCGTACCTGAAGCCTCGGAAGCTGCCGGACCACTCCCTTACTGCTCCGTGCCCGTTCCACTCGACGACGACAACCCTCTCGATAGTAACAACCTCGACACCTACTACCACTTCGCTGATCACGGTTACACTACACCTCAACCGGTTGACACAAATATCTCTGAACGCATCGGACCGAATTTCTTACCTGACCCCGAAGATGGCGACGAAGCAGCTTATCCCGGGAATGAAAATTCCACTCGACACACACCCACGGGCCTGCAGATACTTGGACTATGGGTCGCCGTCCAAAGCCCGCCGCCGCCGTCTCCGCGCGAGCCAACGACTCTGTCGCAGGCTCTGGGGGGGGAACACAAGGCGAAATGGAAGGAAGTAATGGAAAAAGAGCTGAAGGCCCTTCAAGACCAAAACACGTGGAAACTAGTCCCTGCAACAAAGACCAATGGGAAAAATGTGCTCTCGGGAAAGTGGGTG